GTAGAAAAGACGGACTGGACGTTAAATCCCCGTGCAGTGACCACCTGATGCGCCCCTCACATATGTGCTTGCTCTTTCCTCTAAGTACACTTTTGCCGCCGCGAATTTCTGTTTCGCTCTTGATAGGTTCCAACGCTGTCGAGACTTGCCACGGAGCTTTCCGCTCTCGGGTCCGAAGCAAGTATGGGAAAAGGGCAGATCTCCAGGGATATTTCAGTTTTTCTTCAGATTTTATCAGGTGTATTTGGAAATTTTTTGATAAATTAGAGCAAATTCTATTAGGTAATAAAAAAAATTATTATATAAAGTCTTTAACATAAATTATTAATGTTTTAAATTGTCTGAAAATGTATAATTTTAAAATAAATTGAAGAAATAACAAAATTCTAAACAATTTTGCTGTTCTTGAAAATCATTATAATAAACTTTTATAAAATTTTTAGGTTGAATGTCGAATATTGATAATTAATCTAACAATTAAATATTGTAGAGTAAATTGAATTGATTAAGTTTCACTTACATTGTACGTTTTAAAAAAATATCTATAAAATTAATTGAAAATATCTTTTGAAATCGATTATATTGCTCTTTGCGCAAACTGGAAATCTAATTTCAAGCTAACCGATTCTATATACGAAAAATCCAATTCCAATCGAGATTATGCGTGTAAGCTTTGAATAACACACTCTCTATATCCAAGGAGAGCGACGTCGAAAAGCGGCGTCGTGCGCGCCGTTATTGTTGATTTTGCACGGCTGGTTCGCATTGATAGAAATGCAAATCCAGCCCGGCGAATAATTCAAAACCAACATCTCTTCTTCGGAATTCGTAGAGTCAGAAGAGTGATTTCGGGCTGGCTGCTGCAGCGTGCACAGATCCAGCGCCTGCTGCTGCTGTGTTTTTTACTTCTTTTCCTCAGCTGAACCTCTTCCCACATGCAGAGTCAAATCCGTCGGGATTGCTCGGCAAATCTTTTTAGTACAGGCAGGCACCTCTCCCTTGAAAAAATTTGAATCTTATATCGGAATGAGAGCTGCTGGGGATGCTGCACCGCCAAACAAGCTTTTGCACTCTGACAATTTGAGGCCCCTCCTGCCTGCCGGAGCGAGCGAGCGGCTGTCTCGCAAAAAACGAGCGTGATTCGAATTATTTTTAAGTGGAGTTTCACGTCTGCCAAGATTTTATTAAATTATTTCCTACAGGATTTACTTGAAAGAGCGTAAAAGAAATAAATATTGTTGGGGAGAAATTGGCAAGTACTTCAAAAGTAAAAAATAAAACAAGATTTTCAGATATAAAAAGTAAAAAAAATTATATTTTCTATTAAAAATCTGCAAAATTATATTTTTTTCCTTCATTAAACTGTAAATTTTTCAATAATATAGCCAAACTCTATTAACTTTATAATATTTAATTTTTCTTGAACTTAAACTAAAATAAATTATTTAATATTTTATCATAGATTTGAATGGGAGGGACTTTTGCTTTATAAAACTTGCACTTTCTAAGAAAATTCATGCAATCTCAAAATTTTGATCTCAAGAATCATAAATTACTGGCGCACTTCATCACTGCGGTGGAGCGAAAACGGTCTCCGAGGAAAGGGCTGGTGCCGCCTGATATTTATTTTTGGGCAATATATTAATGCACAAAAGCAGCATTATTTCCGAAAGCGCACACACTCAGTGTATTAAGATTATTTATGTACTTTGGTATACGTAAGATAAAGAAATCCATTAAAAGGAGGAGCACGCAGGAGACGGGCGAAACAAAGGCGAAAAATATTTCCCGCCGCTGTGCATCGCTCTTTCTCTCTTCTTCTCTCTCTCTCGCAGCTCCAGCAATAATAATAATAATGCGAGCGAGCGAGAGAGCCATGGCGGAGATATGGATGTTGCTGCTTTATTACAACGCAGGGAAGAAAGAAAGACGCGAAGTAAAGCGAAGAAGAAAAGAAAGGAGCCGTTCCTGATGAGTGTTTGCGTTGCTGCGGCTCCACCAGCACCAGAGAAAGAAAGCAATAATCTACTAATTTCCACTGATGGATTTTTTCGGCGGCGCGTTTTTCCTCCGCAAATGACTGACTAGCTTTTCTCTTTCGCAGCCGCCCCATTCCTGCAGGGTGGCTATTATTATTATTTATAAATACCAAACGCGCCGTTCGCTCCTCACGAGAAGGAATTCTCTTAGCGCCGGATAAATTGCCAAAGAGGAAGATGAATTAATTGCGCACTGGCCAGCTCGATCAATAATACACCGCATATTTGCTAATGGTCAATATTGAAAGAGGCTTGCGGGGAAGCTCAAGAAGTGGCAGAAAATGCTTCAAGGAAATAATATTTTCTTATAAATTATAATATAGATTTTTAATTAACCTAGAAAATTTATGCAATGCTGCTAATATTTTTCATTCATTATTTCATAATTGAATTTTTAACAAAAGTGAAAAATGCTTTCTTCGTGCAAATTTTCAATAAATATTTTTAAAGCATTTTTTTTTCTCACCGAACAAAATAAATTCAACTGGAAAATTATTAACACAGCGTATACCATAACACAATAATGCGCTCCTTAACTGCGTTCAATTTACGTGAGCAAGTGGATTGATTAGTGGCACCGCGGCGGCACCGGTATTCAATATAATAATATAATAATTTCGCCCGCCTCGCATGGGAATGAAGTGAACTTTGCGCTGAAACGGCTGCATTTTTTCCAACTGGCAGCACCCGGCAATCTCATATTGCTGCAGCACTAATAAAGAATCGCGGTTGCATGCAGAGGCAATAATTATTGCCCCTCCGTTCGATTATTACTTACTACATTATTGTAGTGTGTGTGGTGCCTCCAAGATGCTATAAACAAATGTATAACACGCGAAGTGCACGATTCCACTGGTTTTGTATACAATGTTGGGGGAAATTATGTTAAAATGCAAAAACTTTTAATTATAGAAGTTTTGAGTTATAAAACAATTAAATAAAAAACATTCTTTGCTAAAAGAGGAAATTAATTTCTTTTTTTTAATACTCCAAAATTTACAAAATTATGAAATTTGTACTATTATTCCAACAGTCATCTGATTTTCCTTTTTATATTAATTTTTAACTTCAAGTGAATAAACTTATCGATTCGTCTTTTCTACAAACTTTGATCGGGGGTGCAAAATAATAATGGCCGCGCTAGGATTTGGATAAAGCGGTCGGCTGTTGTATGTATGTGTGGAGAAAAGAAAAACTGTTCAATATTGATCAATATGGATGAAGGAGGGAGAAGATATACACAGCACGCATACATACTCACACGGGGGTGACGCGGCAGCCATAAGGGTGGCGAGATGCGATTTTTTTTCGCTGCTGCCGCACCCCGCGCGCGACACTTTTTTATTCCAGCATCCTCCCCACCACCGCCGCGCCGAACACCACCGACGCTGCAAATATATACATGCATGGGGTGTAAAAAAGCACCCTTTCCCTAAAGCACGCCCTTCGTTAATATTCAGATTGGCCAAATTTAATTATTAATTAACTCGGACGGCTTAATTAAAATGGTGGAGAACAACGTTCGAGACTTGAATACTGATTTAGAGATTTTTACAGGACGTCAACCGAGGAAGAAATTATTCAAAAGGAAGAGATCAGTTTAAAAAAAATTTAATATACAGTTCATTTCTGTCTCAACAGTAATTTGAATAGGATTAACATGGAATTTATATGAAATTTTATTTAATAATATTGCACGAAACTTATTTAAATTTTTAATATCTTGTATATTATTATTATTTTTTTGCATTTTATTTTTTGCTTTCATCTGAAAATTGTAATTCCCCCAGGATCTGGGAGGAAAGGCGAGAAGCAAAAGATCTCTCTGCTCTCACATATTTCACTGGGGCATCACCTATCAATGGCAGAGCGTCTTCTTTTCTTGCTCTCCGGCTTTTTTTCGTATTCTTATTTCGCATATATAAGAGACAGGGGCTGCTCGTCGGTGTCACCCACCCTCTCGGGGAGAGCCACCCCCGAGCCGAATCTCTTTTCTTTTCTCTTAGAACAGCGACGAGTGAGTTTTACTCCAAATCCCTGTCAAAGTTTTTATTTTTCACCATGCGATGTCGCGCTTAAGCTTATTCTCTTTTTTTCTCATAATATATAAAAAAGCCGGGCTGCGAGGGTGGCTGGCTGGCTGCGCCGCGTGCGTTTTTTCCGCCCGCTCTCCGCACATATACATAAGAGAGAGAGGGGTAGGTGGTTTGGTTCGGTGTGTAGTAGAGATAATAATATCGATTTGTTAGTCATATTACGCCAAGGGGACTTTTTTTATCTCTCTCGACCGCCGTCGTGCAGCCGCGGCGAAAAAATCGCTAATTCCGAATTGGATCAAAGAGCAGCTCCCTCTCTTTTGGTTTTCACTCTTTTTCGGGAGCAAGCACGTGAGAGAGACGCGCGGAAAGGGGTTGACACGCAAGCCTGTGTGTCAGATATTATGTATTTTATGCCATCTGAAAACATCTTTTGCGCCCTACCCTAAGAGCACCCTCGTTGTTCACCCTTTCATGTTTTGGGCGGATTATGCATGGTGTGCACAGCGGCGGTCGTGTAACGCGAGGTGTCACCTTTGCTGCCGCTGCACTCGAATTTCGCTTGGCATGTTGGCAGTCACTTTGTAAAACTTGTTACTTTACTAAAAAGGGTAAAAAGTCGTGCCGTAATAAATTCACAAAAGACGCTTCTTTTTCTACCCCATGAAACGTTTCAAAAAAGGAAAGCGTTTTATACACAAATTAAAATACCTCCAATTTAAATATCCTGAATCCGAATTAAAATTTTTGTAATTTAAATTATTTTTATAATTTAAGATTCAATATTTTCATTTTCAAAGAGAATTTTGAAACAAGTAATTAAAGTAACAGGAAGATACTTAAACCCGTTCAAAAACTATCATTTCTATTAATGTTAATTTAAATAAGAGTTGAAGATTCAAATTTTAATTAATTTCGATCCTACCTTTTACTTTTTTCTCCTTAAGAAAAATTCCCTTTTTGTCTGAGTGCTTTTTCAGCAAAGACTCACCTCCTGAAACAGAAAGAAACAAAAATAAGACATTTTTTTTTTTAATTTTTTTTAACGCTGCTCTCATTAAAAGGCGACATTTTTTTACATCTTTTCCCTTTTCAGTTGGTTTTCTTTGCAAGTCGCGCATCTGCTTTAAAAGTGGCGCTTGAGTGGTCTCCACGCCGATTAATTATTCACGATTTCAGCAGCGCCTCGCTTTCAGAATAAAACTGCTGCGCTGTTTGTGATGAGTTGAAATAAAAAAAGCAGCGGAAGAAAACGAGCGTACATGTGTACATTACGGCCTGCCAGAGGGGGTGAGTCACTCACCCCTGGCGCACTCACCCCCGGCTCATTACCACCGCGCACACACACAGAGCCGAGCACGCACCCTGCAGTGGAAAAAAACGCCGGCGAAACACAAAAGAAAAACATGGCAGGTGAATCGTTTTAATTTCTCAAAGTACGTGAATTAATTTTTATACCGAAAAACTTTTCTCGGCCTCTATAATTAGCCCTTCGAGAAAAGTTCTCATACGTCACTTCTGCGGCAATAAAATTTTATGGCGGCTGCTGCCGCGGTGGTGGCGGCATGAATGGTGCTCGGCTACCCCCAGCGGTGACCACCCCGACCGCCACCCCCACCCACCCCAGAGCCGCGGCGAGCCAACCACCCCCGACGTCAGCTGATCGCAGCCGATGACCCACTGATCTTGACCCCTTCGTGATAGCCGCCGCAACCCGCAACACACATGCTTTTTATATGTGTCTAGCTAGTGTGGAGAGAGAGAGAGTGAGACGCAAACGGACGGTGTGGATTTCAAACGAGCGGGGGAGGAAAAGTCTAGGATTTTTGCTGCGCTGGCCAGAGAAGGGCTTATGAAGCGGTATATCGGCAAAAAGTGGAGCTGGGGAAAGAATGACCAAACACAATAAAATTAAATTGCGTTCGAATTGCAATTCGGATATTTACCAAATTTTAAACATGTAAGAAGGAAAAATCAGTTTTGTTCAATCAAATTAATTTGATTTTTTTTTGTCTTAATTTCCGTTTTATAGTCAGGACTATGAAAACCCTGATTGTATTTTGGTTTTCAATTTTTCTACAAAAAAATTGATTTTTGAATACAGTTTAAGGTTAAAGAGTCTTTTAAATATTACAATTTTTCAAAAGTAAACACAGCCATAAGGAAAGCAAACTCTATTAAGAAATTGAAACAATAAGGAAAGTTAGATATTAAAATGCAAAAGAGTCAGCAAACGCAAAATAATTGTTTTGAAAATTTAAATAAAGAAATTCTGAATTTCCTTTTTTTGTAAATTTGAAATTAAATAAAAATAATTCAAAATTAGCAAGTTTATACAGGAATAAAAATTCAATTAAAACGGAAGTCACAAAGTCATGAGAAAAGGAATCCTTTCTTCTCTTTATGAGCTTTGGGATGAAACGATTCGTGAAAATTTGCTTTCTGTCTTGAGCAATCCCTCTCTCGGTCTGCTTTGTTTTTCTACCATATTCCCCTCAGATTAACACAGTATACAGCCGAAGGGCATCTCATTTCTCAAAAGTGCATAGCGGCAGAAAGCGTTGGCTGCTGCTCGCCCGGCATTAAGTTGTCTTTGTCTTAATTTAGCAGCGCGCCAGAGCGAAGACGCAGAAAGAGAAAAGGAGAGAGAGAGACGCTCGGAGCTTTATGTGGCGAGTGTTAATCTCTTTGCTAAGCTTCAATTGTAACAATGTAAGACAATTAAGCCCGGGGCCATAACAATAGCGCAGCCGTCGTCGGGCTGTTTGTGCTGTAAACCATCCAAGGTGCGGCTGAATGAGAGAAAGACAAACAATGAGCGGCCGAATAATGCCCAATCGTTTGTCATCTTCTGCGACTTCAAACAACACTCGACTGTGCGCACACAAAATCCAGATTTATCAGCATTAGGCTGATTAATTTCAGCCGCGTGATTAATTAGCCAAATCACGCGAGCCACCGCACCAGCATGGGAAGAGCAACGCGCCAATTAGTCTTTCACCCCTTTGCTGTTCTAGATATAAACCCAACACCAGATTTATCGAAAGAGAAACTTCTTGTCTCAAGGCCATCAGTCAGTCTATTATTCAAGAGAGCAAAATTTATTGCAATTGAAAGGGTTAAAAGCATGACACGATTAAAGCTTAAAATATATTTTAATATTAAAAAATTCCAATCTTAAATTGGTTCGTATTCCTAATTTTTTCCTTGAAAGTCCAATAAGAAATTGGTTAAAGTTTATAATGAAAAAAAATTATACTATGTTGATTCAAAAATTTTTTTTTGTTAGAAAGAATCATCATTTTTATTAAAATTTTCTATGGAAATATTTCTTTTTCAAATTAATTATTTTCCATAACTGAATGTAAACGATATGATGTAAAAATTGAGCATATGAACAAAAAGAACGCAATTTTTATTTAGGAAAAAAATATTATAAAAAAATTTTTTTATCTTGGGGGGAGACTGCAATTATCGTAGCTTTTTTCATTCTATCGTTTAACACTGAAGTTGTATTTTTTATGTTATTTTTTTCTCATTATTTTTAAATTAGAAAAGGATCCTTAATTTGGTTTTTCACGTCTCGCCACCGTTCCGATTGAACGCCCCCTGAAAGAAAAACGGAATTTTTAATCCGTTTTATTGACTTCTGGCGTGCGAGGCCGTGCACGCCGAGAGATTAATTATTCAAGCGCGAGAGGCACCTTCTTTCCAAGACATTAATTAATTACCATCCCCAATTTTCACCCGCCGACAATAATAAGGCCACGTGCTAGATTGATTTTGCAATTTGCCGGGGAGCTAATTTAGAAGCCGCCACCGCGCTTCTTCTTCCTTTTCTTTCTCTCTCTCTCTTATATAATAAAACTCTCTCATTCTTGGTAGTCATCAAGGAAATTCTTTTCCACCGGCTCACACGCTTTCCTTTATTCATCATACATGGGGGGATGAATTTTTTATTACGCACATGCGGCGAGAAAGAAGAAAAGGTCCGTAAAAGGTAATAAAAAATATCGAGGGTGCATGCGCTGCTTTTCTTTCTATTCCTCGGCGTGCGGGGAGGAAATAATTTTTATTGTTCGTGTTGGGAGTTGCTCGTGCTAGAAAAAGAAGCATTAATTAATGAATAATTATTTTTCTGCTTCTTCCCGGCGTTTTAGGGTTCGCCGGCCAATGAAGACGAGGGTGGCTCATTGATGTGGCGAGTCACGCACGATATTCCAGCCCAGCCTTTTCTCCGCCGCCGCGTGTGTCATTTATAAATACATGCATTCAAGCGGCCAGGTCGCTCTCTTTTTAATCACACTCCCTTCCTTTCTTTCTTTCTTTCTTCTGTGCCCGGCCTCGTGAAATATTTAATTAGCCAGATGGAAAATTGGCCCGGACAATCAGCAGCATGGCAGCAGCCAGGCGTGCTCTGCACTGCTGGCAAATGGGCCTAGATTGCTTTTTTTAGTTTTTTGTTCTGCGCGCCGGCAATTTTCCTCTTTCCTCGGAAGTTAATTAATTAATAATTAGTTCGTGATGTCGTGGCGTTTCGCAGTTATTTTTGCTTTGGGTGCTCAGAAAATTGCTCTTTATAGAACAAGTGGAAAAATTGCATGCAATCTTTTCGGTACATGACCTCTTCTATTGTAATTAAAAACTAATATTTCTTTATTAACGATAAACGCGGGTTGAATTAATTGAGATCAACCAATAATGCTAATAATGAATGGGATTCAACTCTTTGCCTCAATTCAACATTCGTGATTTAAACCAAATCTTTGTATAAATAAATAAATCAGCTTATTAATTTGAGGAAAAAATTATAATTTTAAATTATTTTATTTAAAAAAAAACCAAACTAAAAATTAATTTTATTTAGAAATGTAGCATCTAATATATGAAAATTTGAATGGAAGGAAAAATTTATAAAATTTAAGAATACATATTCGTGAAAAGGGGAAATTAAATAAATAGAAAGTTTTTTGTTTTTTAATGCAGGAGAGGTGTTGTGACTGCAATATAATAAAAATGGAATAAAAATCAATATTTTATTAAAAATTAAGGAAAAAATTAAGGAAAAAATTAAAATAACTAAATAAAATTAATACATTATTTAAATAAAAGGAATAATTGAAAAAAGTCTTGTTTCTTTTGTGCAAACATATTCATAAGGGATATGTATAGCAATATTTTTAACATGTAATTAGGAGAAAATGAGCCTGTTAATTGGCTTTTTCTGATTAATTTATAAAGAATTTTTGTTTTGTTAATCAAATTACTAACAATTTTATTTTCTATTTTTCTACATTACACGAAATGGTAGTCCCAGTGATGATTATTTATATTTATTTAAAAAAGCTATGATTTCAATAAGGCCGACTGAATTTTAAATTTCTTTGATTCCTCTCGTTTTGTATCTCATTTTCAATTCTCTCAACAAGGCTCAAAAGTTCAAAGTGTCTCGACCGTATAAGTTGGCGTTCTTTTGAACAATCCCGAGACATCAATGGCGCAAAAGAAAATCATCCCCGAGGGCTCTTGATTAGAAAATCCAAATGCATGAGAGCTGATCAAAGCTAGCATTCCAGCAGCCAACGCACTTTGAATCAGCCATAGAAACGACTCATCGTCAGCAGCGCATTTACCCGATTGGATTGTTGTTAATTTTGCGTCTGTCTCTGCCGAGCCGCACATCACAGGACTGCACAAAACAAATTCCAGTTCTCTACTCGAAGGAGCGTGTGGGATAAATGTTTTAATCAAATTCTAATCACGCGGCGGCAGCGTTTTCGCTCATCTAGGCCGAGTATTCTTCGGCATTCCAGAGCGAAAAGGGCTTCTCAGCAGCAAGTCCGGTCGGCGCGTCTATTCTTATGGAAATGCGGCGGCGGCGAAATAAATGATTTCGCGATTCTGGACGGATGGATGCCTCGAAGGCGGCTTTCATTAGCGCGGCCCCCTTTTTCGGCACCCTCTCTCTTCTTTATTTTTTTTTATATATGCGTG